TCGCTGCCTGGCACCAGTAGGATGAGTCTTCTCTCCACACAGTGAGGATCCGGAGCTCTGGGGACCAGCTCCAGCCCGACCCCAGGGGCTGCTTTTCTCTGAAGAAGCGGAAGCGGAGCCGGACGTCCGGCCTCTGTGGAGAGAGCTGGGTCTCGCACGTCAGCGTCACTGGGCCCCCCTCGACGGGCTGGGCCGGGCTGGCCGTCAGCACGGGAAGCGGAAACAGCTCTAGAGAGAAGAACAAACGTCATTCCTGGGGCAGTGAGGCTCAGAGCTCCCGGAGAGAGTCACCTGTGTCCTCAGCACCAGCCATCAGGAAAGAGACCTATTGTCCCCCTCCGTCCCCGAAGCTTTCCATGGAAACGGCATCCCCTTTGGTCCCCGTGCACTATTTCCCTGCCGAGCCCCACAACCCACAGGTGCAGAGCCATTACCTTGGACCTGGATCCTTAGTCGGTTTGAAGTAGATTCTGGTAGACCCAGAGCATGCCACCAACGAAAAGGAGTGGCACAGTGATAAAGGCCGTTGTCACTGGAGACTGACTGCAGGGTGATGGCGTCAGAGTCAGAAGCGCTGACTTCTTCCCGTCTGAGTTTCTGTCCATCTTTGTAGAAAACTTTCTTTTCGGTAACCTTTTTACTCCTCTCCTGGCACTTCAGCGTTACATTGTCTCCTTCAAAGATGGGGTGCGGGGCCCGGAGGATCAGCTCGCCTGCAAGAGGGGAGCGACACGGTCAGCCTCCCTTTGCCGCTCCTCCCTCAGGCTCTCATTTCTGCCCCCAGGAGAGAGCTCGCGTCCCGTGCAGACCTGCAAGCATCCTCCCGCATCATTTCCTCGTGGTCCCAGTCCCTGAGTCTCCCTTGTCCCGGGACAGTGAACTAATTCCCAGGAAATGTCCTCAAGAAACCCCGTCCACATTGAGAGAGGATTTTAACCTTCCTTTAGACCTGGGTCCATTTTTGCTGGGTGACTTCGTGGTCACAGACACCTCTCTTGGAAGAGAAGAGGGACAATGCTGTCTTGCGCTTCCTGTCCCCCACTGGGGTCAGCCCTGAACGTCCCCATGCGTGCCTACACCACGCTAACCCAGTCCCCAGGCACGGCTTCTCCGAGGCCATGCGGACTTTCTGCATTCCAGAGACGCCCCCTTCCTTCTCTTACCAGATGAGAATTCCACGTGCACAGGGTCGCTGAGGGAGGACCCCGAGGTCCTGCATCTGTAAGATCCAGACTTTTTCACTTGGATCTCCTTCGACCCTTTTCTCAGGAAGCTCTCGTCGTCATACCAGGTTACGTCCCCTGGGACCGGAGGGAGGGGACTGTTGCACACGATAGTCACTTTCTCGTTCTCAAAGGCTGTGGTCCATGGAGGTTTTAGGAGGAGGAAAGCCTTTGGAGGGACCCCTGAACAGGAAATAGAATAACGAAGGCGGTGACAGTGACTGGGAGGTGGGCTGGCAACGGGAGGGCCCAGTATGGCTGGGAGTTCTCCCAGGCTAGTGCCTACTGGGCTAGCAGTGTCACGGGGGTAGGTCTCGGGTCCCCGCTGTGGGCTCAGAGAAGCTCAGGAGATGTGACTTGTGGGGCATATGCTGGGGGAGGCCCTGATTGTCGGCGCCCGGCAGAGCTGAGCTCGGAGGCGCGCCCCTTGGGAGCAGTTTTGGACTCTGAAAAAGCACTTGTTACTTGCTTGTTGCTACTTAATGAACCAGATTTTCCCCCTTTCTTTCCTTTCATGCCTGGCTTCATCTGAGAGTCCGTGGGGAAGGCAGCTTTTTGTACTCTCCACCCAAGGCGGACACAGTAACGATCGAGCCGCACAAAGAAACTGAAGGGATCAGAAATAACAGCTGTGTACGGAACTGCCGCCGCCCGACGGGACCGGGCGCCGAACACGACGGCGACGGGAGCCCCGTCAGGAGCTGGGTCAAGACCTGGCTGCGGCATTTTCCTCTGCGAATGGGAGCATCTCTAGGTCATTGGAGAGTGGCACTGGCTTGGACACGGGGCGGGGGCTTGGGGAAGGCAGGTCGGGTCTGAGGGTGTCTCCGTGTGCACCTGCGCCCCCCTCCGCCGCGCAGATGCCAGGGGCCCGCTCACCCACCGTAGCCCAGCTGTGACCTCAGAGCAGCAGCAGCACCACGGGTGGGGCCAGCCCCGCCGCGGCCCTCGTCTGCGGGCCGGGGCGGTGCCGGCCCAGAGAGCAGGAGGGGCAGAGGGGCACTGACCTGTCTGTCCTCGTCCCGGAGCTGTGAGGAAGCCGAAGTTTGAAGGTTAGCGCCGGGCGACGTTCCTAAGCCTCTTGCCCGAGCCTCTGAGACGCGTCTGGCGGCTCAGCCCAAACTGCATCTTTAGTTTTTCCTTCCCATTTCTTTGTTCTCGTTCTACAGCACCCGTCACCCCCCAAATGACCAGAAACAGCTTGCAGTTTATTTTGTGAGCACGTAGCGGCTTGCAGCCAGACGCCCGGCTCGCCCCTCTGCTGCCGACCTTCCTTCCCCATCTTCTCTGTCTGGACTCAGCCGGGCGCAGCCAGGGCGGGGCAGGCACAGGTGGCTCATCCTCCCCTCATTTCCCAGGCCTCAGTCCTCCTGCGTTCCCCATCTCCGGTTAAATATTGACTTAAAATCTCAGGAAGGGAGTTAAGTCTCTCGGTGGAGCTTCCCTTACCCGCCTAAGTTTTAGAAGTAATTATTTATCTCCCGGATTTGGAGTCATGGCTTGGCAGACAGAAGAACCCAAGCTTCCTATGAGATGGAAGGAGACCGCGTGGGACACCGAGGGGACACACTGGGCTTGCGCCCTGGGCCGCATCTGGGCCTCTCGGTTTCTCTGGGAGCCCAGCTCTGCTCCTTCCTACCTCCTGCCACCTGTCCTTGAGCCCCAAGTGGGAGCAGAGACAGAAGCACCTCGGTGCCCCTGGCTGACATGAGGAGCGAGGCCCCTGGCCCAGCCTAAGCTACCTACTCACCCAGGGTGAGCAGCAGCATCCACAGGAGCATGGGGACCTGGCCTGGCGGAGGGCGGGGGGAGCCGGTTGCACCAAGAGCTGTGTCGCAGCTGCGGCCGTGGTGGGTGAGCAGACCCTTCCCTGGTTTCTGCAGGCGTCTGTCCCATCCACTGAGGAGGGCAGGACGGGGGGACTCAGGTGAGGCCTGTAAGAATCAGAGCGGGGAGGTAGAGAATTATGTCTTGCCTCGGGCCCTGAAGATATGAGCACGACTTCCCGAAGGCCATTCGTGTTTCGTGCTGGCCGCCGGGCTCGGTCAGGTGCTGGCGGCCATCTTCCAGCAGCTTGGGTCTCTCAGGACGAGTGTCTTCAAAGCTGTCCCCGGGTTCTCTGAAAATGCTCAGCTGTTGACTTGCGTTTTTCAAATGGAAAACCCCTTTATCACCTTGAATTCACATGACCTTTAGTTCTGCATGAGGCTCCTCACAGGTGGCGAGTGCGGTGTCCTGCTGTGTTTCGTGCCGTGAGTCTCACAAGGGCAATGTCAAGGCAGACACGAAAGCCTTTACTAAAGTGGTCTGAAGCAGCGTAAGAGACAAAGCATAGAAATCTGCAGTTTACCGGAAGGGGCCGCCCCCAAATCTCCCCGGACCTGTGCGAACTGGGAGATAAAGGGCTGGCACTGTGGCCGGACCAGCCCTGTGGCGCTCACTAGAACTGCAGGACAGTCAGCAATTACTGTCAGGAAACTTTGAAAAAAAAAAAAAAGGTTTGTTATTCACAGGTGCTAGAGAACACATGACACGTCTAGGGCCACAGAGCAAGGTCTCAGGCCTGGGGTTCTGCTTTTACTGCAGTCGAGGGGGAGGGCTCACCTATAACTTGTGACTTTAAAACCTAAGAGAAGGAAGTTCGAGGAAGGGAAGAGAGAAACAAGCAGCCCTAAGGGTCAGTTATGGAAACTGAGGTCTCAAAAACACATGACCAGGGACAGGGTGGGCTGGCCTAGGTCTCCACCCGGTGGTTGGAAGTGTGGTCACTGGAGATAGCAGTCTGTGAAGCCGGGGCCTCTGCAGTCACACTGATACTAGGCACTCACATCACGAAAAAAAAAAAACAAAAAAACTATCGGGCCACACTGCCGAACCCGTTTCCGCCCGTAATCTAAAATTCCCAGAGAGGCGAAACGGTTTGCAAACCAGGGAACCAGCCTCTGCTGGAAAGGGGAGGCCGCCTTTTATAAAGTTCCTGCCCAGGTTCCCGAGTGGTCCGATTTCATGCGAGGGAGGTTTCCAAATTCACACGGTTCTGACTGGTCGTCATGGAGCAGTTCCGGTCGCTCTGCCCAGTCCGCCCTCTCGGTGTGTCGTCGGTGGAGCTGGTCGGATGGTGCTCTGCTGTGGTCTGAAGCTGGCCATGTTCTTTTTTGTCTCAGGACGGTTTCTGACTTAAAGGCGATTCTATCTGGTCTAAGTCTAGCCACCACCGCTCTCTGAGTTGCCGTTCGCATGGACTATCTTTTCTCTCTCTTCATTTTCGGCCTCTGTGTGTCCTCAGATCTGAAGTGAATTTCTTGTAAATAGCATACAGCTGTGTCTTGTATTTTCAGGTCATTTGACTGCTCCTCGTCTTTTAATTGGAGAGTTTGATGCATTTGCATTCAACGTCAGTATCAATAGGGGAGGATTTCCTATTGCTATTTTGCCAGCTGATAGTCTTGTCTGCCTTTTCCTGTCTTCCTTGGTGTTCTGTTCATTTGGTACTGACAGGTTTTGATTCCTTTCTCTTTTGTGTGTAACTTCCACGGGGTTTCTTGCTGTCGTCATGTTAGGTCTTACGTAAAATATCTTACGGCGCTATTAATCTATTTTAAGCTGATAACTTAAATTCAGTCATATAAAATCACATACATTTTAATTTCTGTCCTCCCACACGCTTTATGTTATCATTGTCACCATTTATATCGCGTATCTTTTATCATATTTTTCATTAGTTATTTTAATACTTTCGTATCTTAACTTTTAGACTAGAATTAAAAGTGATTTGCCTACCACCATTACAGTAATACGAAATTATGTATTTACTATATATTTACCTTTGCCAGTGAGTTTTATACTTTCATATGCTTCGTGTGGCTGCTCAGGGTCCTTTGGTTTCAGCTGCTCTCGTTCTGTGGCTCTCGCGTGTACAGCGACCTGCTTTGTCGTGACCCCTCCATTCCTTAAGCTTCCTCCGCTCTTTCCCCCCTGCCTTTTGCTCGTCTGAATTATTTCCCGTCAGCTGTCTTCGGTTCTCTGATCTTCGTTTAATCTGAGTCCGTTACGAATTTTTCATTCGGTTCTTGTGCCCTTTCGCCCCAGGATTTCTGTTTGGTTCTTTATGTCTCTGTCTTTGTGCTGTGATTCTTATCTCGTTGCTTCACTGTTCTCTGGGCCCTGCTGAGCATCTTCCTGAGAGTTACTTTTAATTGTCTGCTAGGGAAATCCGATGACTGTGTTTCATAAGAATCGGTTTCTGGAAATTTATCTTGTTCTTTTGTTTGGCTCACCTTCGCCTCGTTCTTCACTATCTCTCATTCTGTGTTGGTGTCTGTTCCTTAGACAAAGCAGGCCCTTTCCGAGTCTTCACGAACTGTCCTCATCAGGAGAAAATCCCCACCGATCGGCCTGCCCAGAGATTCCGGGGTCCTCCTTCAGGTCTGTCTCCGGGGAGAAATAGGTAGCTGTGGCTTTTGTCCGCTCACTGTGCTGAGCCGGGTGAGTAGCTGTGGTGTCCACCAGCCCCAGAGGCATCTCTGTTCTTCCTTTGGGGACCAGACTGTGCAGGCTCATGGGAGCGTCAAGCATCAAGAGCGTCAAGAATCAACTGGATATAGACAGCTGGGGACCAGACTGTGCAGGCTCATGGGAGCGTCAAGGCTGTTGAGACAGCAGCTAGTTCTTTGGGCAGCCTCAGAGAAGTTGGGGTGCTGGATGCACGGATCAACGCTCTTTCTTCTCGGGGGCAGCCGAGATCCGACATTTTCCAGCCTCTCACTCTTTGCTGAGCGGAGGGAGGGTCAGTAGCATCTCAGCCCAGCCCGCCAGCTCTCCGTACTTGCCGGCTGGCCGGCCCCGCTGGGTCCCTCAGAGCTCCGAGGCTGGCAGAGCGGAAGCCAGCCCCCCAGGAGTCCGTCCGGAGCTGCGGGGGCTCCAGCCATCGGGACGAACACCTTCCCTCCCCGGGAGAGGCTGGTGCTGGGGCGTCGTCCTGACCTCACAGCGCTGAGCCAGAGGCAGAGTCCCAGTGAGCGCGTGTCCCAGACCTACCTTCTCACTTCTGTGGGGTCACGTTTCACTTTCTCACTGGATGCAGGAGCCTTTTATTAGTTTCCAAGCGAATGACTGGGGAAAAGAAACTTTTCTGTGAGTTCTTGCTGCGTCGCTGTGTTTGTGGGAAGGAGGAGGGTCCAGGACTTCCTGCTCCATCATCTCGCTGATATCCCAAAACTCCACCGCGTTTTCAGTGCCTCGCAGAATAGTGTCACATGCTGCTTTGTCTGTAAGTACTTGCCGAATGAGTGAATGGCTGGTGAGTATGAACGGGCAGGATGGTAATGGCAAGCGCTTACCGACAAATCAGGTGTGGTTCAGATTTTTCCTTAGTCGCTTATGGTTAAGGGTTTCTGCGATGTTCTGGAGACAAGGTATTAATGCTACCTTTCTATTTAAATCCAATGATCTATTAAAATCTTACTCAATGTCTTGTTTAGTACGAGGTTATTGTAAACTGATCATTGTAGAGCGTGAGTGCCACTTGCTCTAAGAATTCTTTTCCGATTTTCTAAACTCGGCCGGGGTCCCTCTCACGTGCTTCAATCACGTTTTGGTTTCCGTCACCACAGAGTTCATCCCAGCACAGGGCGACCCCCATTCCAAGTAGCGTAAGTGTTTCAGGGAAGGAGATGACTCTGGCTCGCTTTTGATTTCTTCGTGTCCAGCACGGCTCCTAGCAAAAGGAGCATCAACTGGATATAGACAGCTCTGGGATATAGTGCGTCAAAGCCAGACTCGCTCCACACGCAAACACACACGGCCACTTCATGGCCACGGGTGAGGATGGTGAAGGTCGCTGCTAAGGCAGCGAGGTTGGAAGGACATGCTCACAAAGTGGCCTTTCGAATGCCATGACCCACTGGGTGCCCGAAACATTAGACTTTCTCTCTTCCCCTCTGTAAGTCAAGGGCCATGTCCTCTTCACGTTATAGTCCCAGCGTGTGGCATGATGTGTGACACCCTGCGTAGTGGTGCCAGATAAAGTACAGTATTCCCAGTTAAATTTGAATTTCAGATTAAAAAAAAACAACAACTTTTACTATAACTATGTTCCACGCAATATTTGGGATCTACTTACACTAAAAAATAGTCATTGTTTATCTGAAATTCGAAGGTAACTAGAAGTCCTGTATTTTTATTTGCTAAATGTAGCTAACCTCACTGAAAAGAATGACTTTTAATTTACATGAATAAATTAACAAGTGCTTATATTGGGGGGGGCACTTTTCTCCCCCATGTGTTCGAAGCTCTAACTCAGCGGCTCTCTCTGCTCCTTACCTCCAGGCCAGGAGAAGTGAAATGGCTTATCCGATGGGCAAATCTGGGGGCGCAGTCCATGAGGAAGGCTAACTCACTCCCGCGTTTTTCATCTTGGATGCACACCTGCTGGCAGAGGTCTGCGCAGGGAGGGACTGTCCCCGGCACGGCAGGGGACGGCGACCGTTTTGAGAGCAAATTCTCAGAGACGCGAACAGCTGGGGCACTGGCTTCGGTAGATCAGAAGTGAACACAGAAGCAAGTGTGTGGGAGCCACGTGTTCCCACGGTCAGGCTTCCGCTGGGCGCGGCCCGGGGCTCGGCTTCCGTGGAGAGCAGGGCATTTTGTTGCTTGAAGAGACTCAGACCGCGCTCTCAGTTTCTAACTAGACTGAGCTGGGGCCGAAGGCTGGCCGCCCGAGGGCGCATGATTACTGACCTTGACAGGCGACATCAGGTCGTAGAGGCTTTGTGTCTGTAGAGGCAGGACCGCACCCGTGGGTATCAGTGAGGACAAGGTAGAAACTCGGCGGGGGCCTCGAGGTGCCACGAAGGCCTTCGTCAGCAGGAGCCGATGAGGCGCGGGTTTAGCTGGCCAGTAGGCACGTGGATGACCACCAGGGCTGCTGAGCGACAGAGCCTCGGGGGCGACAAGGGCGCCCACGAAGGCCCGGGGCGGCCTCAGCCTCCTTTCTAGGCTGTCACGGCCGACGCAGATGGCCTTTACTAGTGACAATCTCTATCCGTATTTTAGGCGCTCATGACCGAAATGG